TGTGTATATGTGTGTGTGTGTGTGTGTGTGTGCGTGTGTATTGTTGTTGTCCTTTTTATTCCTAGAAGAAGAACATCAAAACTGACACAGGTAAGCCGACATAACCATGTTTCTCGGCTATAAAGTATTGAATTCGGATAGAACACACGGAGAAAAAGGTTTCTTTAGATTTAGTATTTCCATTTATTTGATTAAAATTTGTTTTATAGAAACAACATATACGAAATATTATTTGTTTGAGTAAAAATTGTACTGTCTCATTCAAGAAAATTCTATTATTTGACAGAAAGAACGCTATTACTTGAAATAATACCTTTTAACCAAATAAAATATTATTTGATTACAATGAATATATAAAATGAAACAAATAATTTCAACTGACATACTTGAAGTTTGCTGTGAAATATAACTTCACAGAATGCGGTTGAAGTTACCGGCAACTGATTTTTCCCTATTTTTCTTGTTTATTTGTTTGAGATACTTAGAAATAAAAAGTCAGAGGATTCTTTTTCATACAATAAAAGAATAATATGCGTTGTACAATTTTTAAAGTTTTAAAAAAACATACAAGACTAATGACAACATGTAAGGATATGTAATAAACGTATAAAATAATACGTTCAGTGTTTTGTTCTATTTTTTAAATAATTCCCTATATATATATATAATAATAATAATAATTTGTACAAGACTATCATATATTTTGGTAAAGAATTGCGACTAGTTTGTATCTATAAATATAAATTTTAACTTTACACCTCCAACGGGGTTTTAGAGCCCAAAAACAAAATGGTGCTTCGCTTTTAGTTTTTACCCTCTAAAGATTTCTACTTTTCTACGGTTGTCTCGCACCGTGCTTTTTTCCTGTTTCTTTTTTGTTTGAAGAGAGGATACGAGACACTGACTCACTCTTCTTCCTTCCTATTCTCTTCCTTCCCTCTTCCTTCGAATAAGTGCCATTGTTCCGTTTGCCGTGCCCGTCGAGATGTGGCGACAGCTTGCGCGCCGCACGTGCCATCGGGTCTTAATTACTCGGACATTGCAGAACGTCCCGGCAACCGTTATCTATCTCGCACCGCGTCTCTCGTCCGATCATTTCTCTTTTCGCGCGACGAAATTGACTCGATCTTGCGGGGGTATTCGACACATTAAATTCCCGTTCGATCCTCAGCGTTCACGGTATTTCGAATCCGGCGTTCGGCCGCGCGTTCGGAGAGTTTGGTCAGTTTTCGTTCTCCGCGCCTGAGCGATAAATTCGCGCGAAATCCGGATGAAATCGCCAACTACAACGAAGCGTTAACCGATGGACCTTGTAGACTGACGATACCGACGAGTGAATTGTCCAAATTCTATCCACGAAGGGCGTCGAAGGGGCCTCGCTGGAGTACCGAGACGTGAAGCGGCATATGCGACACGGGTGCATACAAGTCGCCATTTGCCGCGCGCGCGTTCGTATCCGGTCGGCCGATCGTGCGGGAAGCGCCGAGAGAGAGGACGTAGATGGAGATTGGCAACAGCCGATATATTCTATTTACAGGTGGACAATGGCGAATAATCAGCTGGCGTAATGGAGTGCAGGTACCGCGCTTCGCGAGGCCCTCGGCCTCTGAAAGGGCGATTAAGGCCGGCGGGGGTGGTGATTGGGAGGGCGATCTGCACGGTCAGATACGCGGTCCCTCACACACACACACACACCGGGATGGTGTGTAGGAGCCGCGAATACGCGCGCGACGACCGGAGGATTCCGTTGTATACGCGGGGCATGTTATTACAACATGTAGCCCCTCTATCCTATCTCAAGTTCGCACGGCTCTTAGTCCCGTAATCGCGCGGACCATGAAGGGCGTTGGATCGGGACGGTTCGCTCTCTTGATTAGTACCGCGCAATTGGTTTGTTTTTCGTTTCCCGTAAATACGTACGGCGAGGAGAAAGGAGCGACAACGAATGCGAGACCGTAGACTCGGCTTTATTTGCCGCGTGAGAATCNAATTGTTGTCCCTACCTCTCCCCCCCCCCCCCCCTCCTCTTCCGCTCAACTTGCTTCTGCTTGATTTCGTTCTTTGTTTGTGAAAAAGAGCATCATATCTCTGTCGTACACAAGGAGTTCATAGAAATCATTTCGTTATCACACGGATAATCTGTGACATTCGTCCACCCAATCAAACTATCCAACAGGAATTTATCTTGCTTTATCTTGCTTTATGAATATTCACGTATCGATCTCTCAGTGGGGTTCGCCAATTTTTCGAGTATCCGAAATTGACGTAGATGTAACAGTTCGATGTTCAGATCCGCGCGTCGTGGTGGATCCCGCCCTCGGCGGTTGCCCCCCGCTCCCCCCGCGGAGTATTCCCCGATAGAAAGTTCGGCGAGCGACACAACGCGAACGTTCATTCCCCTTCTTCTCTTTCTTCTTCTGCTGCTTCTTCTTCTTCTTCTTCGAGGAACTCCACTCGGCGAGGTCGAAATAACGAATTAACGTACTTAAGCGAAGAACGGCGCGAGTTCTCATTAGCGACAGAAGCAGAGCGCGGTGGGCAGGTGGAATTGGGACTAAGGGGAGAGGCGAGGAGAAGGAATCAACTTCTTCGGTACGTAAGTTGTCTTCGCGTGCCCTTTTAATTACTGCAGGCGGCGGGAGGCGGCGGAGACGGAAGCGGGAGGGGCGGGGAAACGGCACGTGCATTTGCATTTTCCGGAAGGGCCGTTTAGAAGTTACGCCGGAGTCGTCCAGAAGCGGCAGTGCGGTTATTTAATGAGTAAAAGGAGAAACAAGGTGGTCGTAGGCAACGGGATGGAATAGGGGAGAACGAGTCGACGACGTGCTCGAGAGGGGGTACCGTCCTTGCGGGGGTGAGATATAGGATTGTATTTTAATAGAGGCATTACGGAACGCGCCCGCTTAGTTGAGACGTGTTTGTCTCGTATCCCACCCCTCCCCGCCGCATTATTTCTCTTTTTTTTTTTTTTTCTTGAACATTTTTCACATAGCGTAAAGGCACAGCTTGTCTTCCTGGCAACTTCTTCGGAATTCTTTAGGATGTGTACACTGAAGAAAATATCCGATCATGTGTGGAATTTAATTGGATTGGATAATTAAATTATACATATAAAAAATAACAAACCGATATATACGATCAAGTGCAACGTCTGGTTATTTCGTCATTTCATCCGATCATCGAATTCGAATCGATTTTTATCGAATAAAGGTACGATTTGATCGGACGGGAAACGATAAAAATTATTACGGATGTACAAAGGACAACTGATTTTTCTGTTAGGTTTCGGTAACTATATCGATAACTTTCTCGGGCATTTCATCGGATTAAGGTATACATCATTTGATCAGCCGATGAAAATAACAATCAGATACACCATTTAGTCGGTTTATCCGATGGAAATTTTTCTCAGTGTATATATAGATACCAGTTTCTGCGCTGCGTCCACGCGAAATATTGAAATATTTGCACAAAAGAAACAGCTGGTTTTAGGTGGCTTTAAAGGAATACTAAAGTCGATAAAGAACTTGATAAGCGTCGCGTTACGTAGAAGCGATCCTTCAAATGTTATGTTATACACTGACACGATTACTATACTTTTTGTATTTCTTGTACATATAGATTTTACATAAATGTAAGTGGGATATAGGTAAATGTTAATCCGATGAATGTGCTATTCTGTTTTACCACATCTAACGGAAAATCCAAGCAACATATATAAACATTATTTCGCAAACTACTTGTACTTTTTAAAGCCTTCAAATTTTATTAAAAAAATACAAAAGTGTCCTTTAAAATTTTTCTGATTGTAGCGTTGACGTATTCGGTAAATACTAAGATATTAGTACGGCATTTACGGCATTATATAACCGTTTTTTTTTTTTATTAATATACTGATACGTAATTTTTCCATACTTGAGCAAGGTGATATAATATTTTCCCTAAATACATTTTTATGCAATTACAAGTTTCCTTAATTTTTCTATTTTATTTAATTGTTCCGTTCTCAAACTTGTGACGCATATAACTAACAGTTAGTACTCGAGTAGAAATTTTAGTTCTACAATGAGTATATATAATTCTACACTGAGTCTTTACGGTTTTCTATGGTTATCTTTGATACTACAAATAGGATAGGTAGTTAATTCTCAACTTGTAGATTAATATAGAATTAAGTGGACGTAATGTAAAATAAAAAAATTTAAGGTATTTGTTGCATTAATTACGAATATATAAGTCAGTAAATATCACATTTTGCACATCTTTTTCTGTTCCTACGAAATTTATTCGCGATATTCTATTAGGCCTCGACTATTCGTAGCTTGTTGTATCTCAAGTTATGATTCGGATTGTAAACACTTCCCGAGGCACATTTGAAAACACTTATTAGTGTCCTTCGAACAGTCGCCGATTCGACATCTATATTGCTCCTACAGAGGATTTGCGTTGGTATCGAATTTTATCTTTCAATGTTTAGCACATTGCCTTTAAATTAATATTATAGATAACAGTTTTTCTAAACGTCATTTATACTGATATATAGGTTTATGGATGAAAAATGTGCACTAAATGCATATCAAGGGCCGCTTACGCCAGAGTATTACAACACTTTTTTCCACCCTAACATTTGTCACGTTTGTAAATCACCGAATGATGGCAAATTGATATTGTGTAACGGCTGTAAGATGATTGCTTATTGTTGCCACAACCATAGAAAATTGCATCTACCGCAACACAAGGACTTTTGTCGAGCTAAACGTCAACATCCGTCGATGTACGTCCCTCCAAATTGGAACTTACGGTTGAATTCAATAAGGGAATCCATATTAAAAATCGAAGAAACACTGCAACGCCGATTATTAGGATACGAATTACAAATGTTTACATTCGCAAAGTCGTGCCTTTTTTGTTCGCGACAAGGTTATTTGTTGACTTGTCCTAATTGCGTGTCTGTTAATTATTGCGTTAAGCATAAAGAAAAGATTATGCATGATAAAATCATGTGCAACGTGCTGGCTCTAACTGTCAATCTTCATATTCAATTTATCGAGCAAATAGAACGAATGGAAAAATACGAATTTCACAGATTTCCTTTTGAGAATAAACTTTTCACCGACATGAGTACATTTCACAAACAATATTTTCAAGGAAATATATCGAGAAATTATTGGACTTACGCTGACTACGCTTTTACAGATTTCGTAACGGGACCATTGACTCTGCTCCACAGTTTGCAATGTGTAAATTTAGTCAAACCCATAAAAGAATTACATACATATGTTATTCATATTATAGATGCAAAATATGTGGATAGATATAACTTTCCATCTTGGGAGCTTTTCTTGCATTTCATACGTAGAAATGGGAAATTAATAATTGTAATGGTAGGATTAGAATTACCGGACGAAACATCTAACAGTGAAATTTGTAGAATTTGCGTAAACTCTGGAAAGAAGCTCGTTCTTGAATCTGTTCACATGTTGTACCACGATTATGTTACCAGTTCTGCATATAGACGACCAACTATAGTTATAGGATTTCACGCGGAACTTAAATATTTAGATGCGCGGAGAAAATATTTAGAAGCAATTCGGGCCCAAAACTGTTCGTTACTTTTGACTAGTAAGTCGAAAATTAAGATGGAAGAGCACTTAACTGAGATACGAGACGTCTTGGGTGAATTTGTAAAACCTCTTCTTGAAACTGAAAATAAATTCCGTTCACATAGACCATATAGAGACTTTGACACAAATTACGTGTTTTATCGTAATGCATTTTTAATTATCTACAAGAATTTACATAATTCGAGCAATTAGATTGAAGCCAGTAGCAGCTCTTGTGTATGACTATTATCATTTCAGTGGTATTATTGCAAACAGTGGACGAGATTATATGAGAAGATTATATGGGTCTATGAACAAATTCGCAAATGATTTTAATAAAGAATATATTTAAAAATAGTTACATTATAATTGTTTGAAAACGTTTTATCATTATCACTATTATTGTCCTGTAACAGTTAAATCATTGCTTTAAACATTACATTACATATCTCGAAACATAAAATAGATATTAGAATATTACTGTTTAGTACCCAATGTGCGCCATAGTTTATGCTGATCATTTTATGCATAGCACTCAATCATTCAATCCTTATTTGATGTTTTGCATAACTAGTTGTGGAATTAATATATGGCACATATTGTATTAACTAATAACATGTATTGTATTAGCTAAACTTTTTAAATCATTGTATATTAACGCGAATTTGGCATGTCTAACGATCATATATAATGTACTTTCCTAAATAATTCTCTATATATTTTCGAGTTTCTTTAACACTTTCTATATTATTTTTAATTGTATTATTCTTAAACAAAATATATTTAAGTCCACAATTAATTAAGATTAATTAAGATTAATTAAGATAATTCACTGATACACAATTAATTAAGATTAATTAAGATAATTCACTGATACTTGCGGCGGAAATGGCGTGATCTTCGCATCTTACATTACATTTTCCTTTTAAAGGCTTTGATATTTGATGCTTTGGTGTACAAGTGTACAAATCAGTCGATATCTAATTTGTATATTTTACTTTCTTTGTATATGTTCTTTGTATATTTGTATTTTATTTGTTTATTTACTTTTACTGTTCCTATCGAATCTATTTGCAATATTCCATTGGGTGACAATTCGTAACCCGTTGTATCTTAAATTTCAATTGGAATTATAAATACTTCTCAAGACACACGAGGTCACTTTGTTAGTGTCCTTCGAGCAGTCACCGAATCGACATTTATACCACTTCTACAAAGTATACGATTTGCGCCAAAGTAAGAAGTTTCACACATTGTTCTTAAACTGATATTATCGGAAGAAATTTTCTTAAATTTTGTTTATACTGTCGTACAGATATGAGTAAAAAGTGCGCTCTGATAACATATCGAGGACCATGTTCATCTGCGACTTATAACAACTTTTTTCATGCTTATCTTTGTCACGTCTGCAAATTGCCAAATCAAGGGAAGCTGCAGCTGTGCAACGGATGCAACATGATTGCTTATTGCAACGATCACCATAGAACAATGCACTTAGTAGAACACAAGTACATTTGTCAAGCTATACAAAAAATTCGACATAAGAATTTATTATGTAACGTTCCTCGAACACCATTGCAAGAATTTTTCAATTCGAAGAATAAATCTATAACAGCACTGAGCGAAGCACTGGGTCGTAAACTTTGTGATTATGAGATGGAAATGATCGTGTGGGCAAGATTGTGTAATAAATGTGAACAGCATGAAAAATTGTTCACTTGTCCTGTATGCTATTCCGTCAGCTACTGCGATAATCACAAAGGAGAGATTGATAAACACTATGGAATCGAATGCGAAAACCTGGCGCTGAGTGTTAATTACGCAATCAAATACATGGATCGCTCAGGACAAAGAGAAACTTACAAGTTTGATCAGTTTTTTGACACAAATAAATGGAATTTTACTGACATGGGTACTTTTCGCCAACGATATTTTCGAATGAAAAAGCCAAAAAAGTGGGATTATGTTGACTACCACTTGACTGAAAACGTAACAGATCCGCTGACCGTCTATGATAGCTTGAAAAGTGCAAATTTATTGAATTCATTCATTACAAAAATCGGTATATGTATCATTCATTTTATAGGAGCAACATTTCCAAGTGTATATAACTGTCCATCTTGGGAACTTTTTTTACACTTATTAGGCAAAAGGTGTAAATTATTAATTGTATTAATAGGATCAAATGTTCCACTGCAAGGATTAGACTTTAGCATTTGTAGCTGCTGTGAACAATCTGGGAAGACGGTCGTTTTCGAAACTTATCAAATGATGTACCAAGATTATGTGGCCAGTCCTGTTTATAAACAGCCATCTTTGGTTATATTATTAGATTTTGAATTTAAATACGACGTTTCAGATAAGATGTGTTTAATGGCAATTCGAACTCAGAATTGTCCTTTAATTATAACCGCCAAATCGCAAACTAAAGTGCAAGATCACTTGTTTCTTGTGCAGCAACATATTGATGTATCAGTAATTCCCATTCTTCAAATTGAAAATAGATTCCGATCTCATAAACCATATAGATTTGTCGATACAGGTTACGTATTCTATCGCAACCATTATATAATGTTATACAAGAATTTATATAATCCAAATATTCAGGGTGAATCTAGTAGCAGCCTCAACGTATGACTCTTACCATTTCAGTAGTATTATTGTAATAGACGAAATAGGCTCTGTCTATAAATAAGTTTAAAAACGGTTCAAATAATTTTAATAAAGATTATATCTAATACCAGTTATGTTTTTTTTTATTAGAAATATGTTACCATAATCTCCGTATTACTGTCCCATAACAATTGAATTAACGTTTAAAATTCAAAGCATTTGGATGTAATGTTTGGTAAAGCCCACTTGCTGGCTTTGTTTTGTATTTGTATTTGTATTGTATTGTATATATATAAATTGTGTTTGTTATGCTAAAACGAGTTGTATATGAATGTAAAAAATATTTACAAGTGATTACAAAGGGAAATGTGAGGAATTCGCAAACAACGTTATCCATACGAACACTTGCATTAGTAAAGCGAGTGAGGACTAGGAATTGTGAGGCCCCCAAGTCGAGATAAATCTCAGGCAAAGTAACGTTACAGTTATTCAATAGTTAAATAATAGTTTATAACTTTCCTATCTCACATCCCTACTTCCAAAACATAAAATGCATTATTGTTTTTAGATTTATGCATTATTGTTTAACTAAATGTAACACTAGTTGTACTACTGTCAGATTTAAAATTCTTCAGTACATAATTTATAAACATTATTTAATTTATCAATCTTTTCTTTTAAATCTTAAATTCTTTCGAAGTTTGATGTTTGATTGTACACGTCAATAAATATTTATTATTATTCATATCCTTCCCCGGATTTTTCTAGTTTTATCTGCTCTTGGATAACAGATACTCTTGGTTATTTGTATCGCGTTACAGCTTAAATTATCAACATCTTCCAAAAGAAACAGGCCTCTTCTTGTCAAATATTTTTGATTAATTGATTTATTCTTGAACATTTTTCACTTAGTGCAACGTGAAGGCACAGCTTTTCTTTCTGGCAACTTCTCCGGAATTCTTTAATGTGTGTACACTGAAGAAAATATCCGATCATGTCTGGAATGTAATTGGATTGGATAATCAAATTATATATATAAAAAATAACTAACAGATATATACGATCAAGTGCAATGTCTGGTTATTTCGTCATTTCATCCGATCATCGAGTTCGAATCGATTTTTATCGAATAAAGGTACGATTTGATCGAACGGGATTCGATAAAAATGATTACGGATGTGCAAAGGATGATTGATTTTTCTGTTAGGTTTCGGTAACTATATCGGTAACTTTCTCGGACACCTCATTGGATAAAGCTATACATCATTTGTTCGGGCGATGAAAATAACAATCGGATATATCATTTAGTCGGATTATTCGATGAAAATTTTTCTCAGTGTATGTATAGATTTCCAGTTTCTCCGCTGCGTTAACGTGACATATTGAAATATTTGCACAAAAGAGACAGCTGGTTATAGGTGGCTTTAGAGAAATACTAAAGTCGATAAAGAATTTGATAAGCGTCGCATAACGTAGAAGCGATCCTTCAAATGTTATGTTATACACTGACACGATTACACTATACTTTTTGTATTTCTTGTACATATAGATTTTACATAAATGTAAG